TCCTGCTGATGTGGGAAAGCTCAGAGGCTTGGAGATTGGACATGATGAAGGTTCTATAACCTGTTGTTTGTTTGATGAACACAGGAAATTGAGGGATGTCCCAGAGTCTCAGCACAAGTTCCCTTCCATCCCCGAATCCCCGCTTCAGAGCACCCCTCCAAGGCATGCTCTTCCTAAGGCCTCATCAAGCCGGTTTGTGAATTTAGCTAAGCCCATCTTGAACTTGACTACCGCTGCAGCTTGCACAAGCTCTCAGGGAGGGACTCCCACATGGAGACAGCCTGCTATACAAATGACTGGCTTTGATTTATTCTAAATCAACCTCCTTCAAGTTTTCAGGGGGTACTTCTTTCACCAGGTGGTCTCACTGTGTCCTGTCTTTCTCTTTCCTTCCCAAGATTATTCAGAGATTTTAAAATGGCTGTTAGAATTTTGATGTTGATTAACTTTATCTTGGGCCCTACAGAAATGAGAAAATGTCCTGACACTGGCTGGAAAACAGGGTTAAATATGCCTTTTGCTGGATAAAAATGTTCCCCGCTTTCACTTATTTCTTCTGAAAGCTAAGAAGCAGACAGGCCGGAGCCTGGGCACCTCAGGTTGTCCATACAGAGGAAGCTGCGGCAGCAGGAGCAGAATCTCAACTTGGGTGGTACTATTAGCCATTTGAAGCCAGCATTCCAAGGCTTTCTTCTCTGTCAAGCTCAAAGCTAAATGCTTTTTCGTTGTTGTCCTCATCCTGCCTACGCTGCTGCATCCTTCAACAGAGAAGGTTCTTTATCTTTTTAAACCAGTGATACAACTTATTCTATGCAATACTTAAAATTCAAGAAGGCCACCCTGGCTTATGAAATTGTTCAAGGTGGTCACGTAGGAGTTTTCCATCCTGCATTTCTAGCACTTTCATTCTACCGCACAATTCCTTCAAGTTCTTGCTTCTTGGCCCAGCCACGAACGCGAGACCAATATTCTGGAAACGTCTGTCTCACCTCCGGTTCGCCACAGTCACACTCCTCCCCTTCTTCGACATATCCATTGCCGCACTTCTGGCCCCCGAAGGACTGCGTCACTTCCGGCAGGTTAAAGAGGCACATACCCATGCCCTTCTCCAGGCTGGCCTCCAGGTCCTTCCTGCTGCAGCTGCTGAATACCATGGGGAACGGGTACCTGCAGGGAAGAGCCAGGACGTCAGTCGTCAGGGCACTGAAAGGCCTCACGCATCCTTCTCGTGCAGCTGTGCGTGGTACCCACGGGCACCATCTGCCTGGGTGGCCACTGTTAGTCTCAGTGAACAAAGGCTTGAGCGGTGTAAAATGAGGCACCTTCGACTACGCCCTGAGGTCCAACCCTGCAGAGTTCCAACACCACCGATGAGGAAGTGCTTTATCCAAAAAGAAATGACCTTGGGAGGGTTTTCAAATCGACTTTAGATTGTGTCTCGTTACAGACATCATTAATAGTTCTGTGTGAAATGATATAATGGAAAGTGAATGCTTAGGATCTGTAGCTTGTAATGTGAACACTATCTATGTTCATATGGGAAAGTGCAAAGATGAAGAAAGTACATTTAAGTCTTTAAGCCATTTTGAGTTTATTTTTGTGTACATGGAAAACAGTATGGAGATTCCTCAAAAAACTAAAAATAGAGCTACCATGTGATCCTGTAATCCCATTCCTGGGCATATACCCAGAAAAGATGAAAATCAATTCAAAAAGATACGTGCACCCCAATTTTCATAGTAGCACTATTTACAATAGCCAAGACATGGAAGCATCCTAAGTGTCCATCGACAGATGAGCGGATAAAGAAGATGTGGTACATATATATTGACATATACAATGGAATAGTACTCGGCCATAAAAAAGAATAATGCCATTTGCAGCAACATGGATGGACCTAGAGATTATCATACTAAGTGAAGTAAGTCAGACAGAAAGACAAATATCATCTGATATCACTTATACTTGGAATCTAAAAAATGATACAAATGAACTTATTTACAAAATGGAAACAGACTCAGACACAGAAAACAGATTTATGGTTACCAAAGGGGAAAGGCAGGGGGAGATAAAGTAGGAGTTTGGGATTAGCAGATACAAATTACTATATATAAAATAGATAAACAACAAGGACCTACTGTGGAGCACAGGGAACTATATTCGATATCTTGTAATAACCTGTTAGTGAAAAGAATCTGAAAAAGTATATATAACTGAATCACTGTGCTGTACACTAGAAACTAACGTAACATTGTAAATCAACTATACTGCAGTTAAAAAGAAAATAATAAAGGCAATCATTATCCCGAGGGAGGGGGAAGGTACAAATGACTGAGCTTATCAACTCCACGGCTTCACATACACAATCCCCATAGTGGGTCAGGGCCGGCTGATACTGGTTTGGGCCTATAAAGGGCAAATCACTGTCTCTCCAGGCACAGCTCTAAGAGAATGGAGGTGGTCAGAAGCGCAGGTCCTGCCCTTGCCTCGAAAACCAGGGCTACATAGGGATGTGGCCAAGTTGGCTAACTTCCCTGCAGAGCTCGTGCTCCCCCTTCCATGGTCTGGAGGGGCTGTGCCACCCGCCTTGCTCCTGGGTGGGCTGTGTGATAATTCTTGGTGATGGAATTAGCAGAGGGGAAATGGCATGTGTCACTTCTGGCAGAAGGTAGTTAAGTAGCTGTTCCTTCCTCTCCCCTGCTGCCAGCTGTGCTCAGACCAGTCCAACGTCCTAGGAGGGGGACGAGCCAGACACAGCACCTGGTCCTGGCTCACTGACAGCACAGAGCTCCATGGCGTCACACGCAAGGGAAACACATCTCTATGATGGTCAGCCCCTGGAAATTAGGGGCTCCCACGGCAGCTAGTGGTCCCTAACGTATATAAAGCATCTGACTCTCTTTTACGAATGTGCTTTCCCAGGTCTTAAGGCAGTGATTACCATAAGGGCTAAGCACACCAGAAAGCCAGGTTTTATTACTTGGTGAGGAAGCAGGACTTGCTGACCAGCAAGCCCAAGCACCCTCTCCCATGAAGACAGGATGACATTATAATTGGATCCCAATCAATTGGCCAAACCAATGTGCGCTCTTAGGTCTCCCTGAAGACGGCAGACTAGCCACCATTCAATGACTGAGTCTCTGGCAATACTTCAAGATCATGATGAGTTCCAGGGCCAAACTGGTAACGCTGCACTATCTCCCCACGTGTTTTCTATCAATCTCAGGTTATTAACTCTAAAGTAGAATTCTAATCTACAAGTAAATTAGTACATGCAAGTCTTGCTCTTGGATACAAAGACAATAAACCAGGACTTAGCTGTAGTAAAGTTCCTTTCGAAATCTTTATAACTTTCCTGGGCAGACAGATTGATTGTTCCTGGTACCAAAAGTGATACTGAATAGCTTCAGATGATGACCCATGAGAAAAAGTGTAACTCTGTCCATTTCAAGGGCTTTGTGTTGAAAAGATGACAGTACGTCACACAGGGAATTGAGAGCTGTAGTTCTCTTTGCAAGCGGAAGAAATGGAACCTTCTCCAGTGTAAGCATTTCCCAGGACGCCTCTATCTCAAGGCCTGACCCAGGAGACTAAACCTCATTCGCACTCAATGATACCCAACCAGGTGCTGTGATGAACTCTGACCAGTTCATTCTGGCAGGGCACTGATTTCTAGAAAATGTTAAATTAGGAAAGACACAAGGATAAACTGTAAGCCTCGGGAATGGTTTATAAGCAAGATTAACAGCAGTTTATAGCAAGATGAACAGAAGCCCGGTGAAAGAGGGGTATCAATCACCCTGCTTCCCAAATGAGAAGATGCCCACGAGCGTCCGCGGATTAGAGGGCTGAAACCAGCTCCAGGAACAGCTCCGACGAGCCCTCCCCTCTCACTGTCTTTCAAAACAACAAATACATTTTGGGATTTTTGGGGGATTGACATTAAAAAAAAAAAGGGATAGATGGGCTTCCCTGGTGGCGCAGTGGTTGACAGTCCGCCTGCCGATTCAGGGGACACGGGTCCATGCCCCGGTCCGGGAGGATCCCACGTGCCGTGGAGCGGCTGGGCCCGTGAGCCATGGCCGCTGAGCCTGCGCGTCCGGAGCCTGTGCTCCGCGGTGGGAGAGGCCACGGCAGTGAGAGGCCCGCGTACTAAAAAAAAAAAAAAAGAGAGAGGTCGTGGAGGATGGCAGAGGTGTTTCTCCATCCTCACACAGAGGTGGGAATGTTGACCGGTCCAGTCCACGGAGAGGGCAGGAAGGTGTGGGGAAGGGTCGCTGGCCTAGGTGACTATTTCTCTCTGATAGAATATTCCTGAGCCCTATTTGGGCATTTAGAGAAAGTCAGGCTTTAGAGGAAGAAAAGCAGAGTAACCTGTCACTCATCATTCAATTATTCTGCAAAGATTTATTCAATACCTACTATGTTCCAGGCATTGTTCTAGGCATTAGGGAGATGGAATGAATAAAACATACATAAATCCTGGCTGTGGTGGAGCTTTGCATCTAGTGGGGCAGACAAATAATACAGAAGATAAGGGAATCAATTACCTATTGGCAAGGAATGAGCGTTAAAGAGAAAAATAAGACAGGTCAGGGGAGAGGATGTGCGAGGTGCCGACCTTTTAGGGAGGGTGGTCAGGGAAGACCTCACGGAGGGGAAGGCATTTGGGGCCCTCACCAGAAGGATGTGAGGGAACAAGGTGGAAGAACATCCGGAGGAAGAACGTTCCAGGCAGAGGGAGGAGCCTGTGCAAAGGAGCGTGGGCAGGGGCGAGTGGCCTCGAGGACTTTGTTCAGCAGAAAGCAGCAGGCTCTTGTCAGTAACACACACCCAGAGGGGCGACCCCCTCCCCAGAGAAGACCCCTAAGCCCTTGGAGGTCAGGCTGATGGCAAAAGACTACCATGGAACATCATTAAATGGGGGAGGGGAGCTTTGCCCTGCATGGACCAAGCACTGATAATGGCTGAAGGTACTTCTCATAAGAATTGCAAACTTTTATTCCCCCACACTTTTTTTTTTTTTTTTTTTTTTTTTTTTTTTTTTTGCGGTACGCGGGCCTCTCACTGTTGTGGCCTCTCCCGTTGCGGAGCACAGGCTC